TCCGGGCCACCGCATGCAACTATATAAAGCGCAAATTCGGCCCCACATGGAGTACTGCTCTCACCTCTGGGCGGGGGCTCCCCAGTACCAGCTCCTTCCACTTGACCGTATACAACGCAGAGCGGTTCGAATCGTTGACGACCAATCCCTCTCCGAGCGGCTTGATCCTTTGGCGTTGCGTAGAGATGTGGGGTCACTCTGCATCTTCTACCGCATTTACCATGGAGAGTGTTCAGAGGAGTTGTTCGGATTAATACCTGCAGCTGAGTTTCATCATCGGACGTCGAGGCAGAATACGAAATTCCACCCGTATCACCTCGACGTCCGACGTTCCACAACTGAGCGTTTCTCAAGGCAGTTTTTGCCGCGCACCACCACTATGTGGAACCAGCTGCCCACTGAAGTATTCCCGAACCAATTCGACTTAGGGTCCTTCAAGAAAAGAGCGTACCAATTTTTAAAAGGCCGGCAACGCACTCGCGAGCCCTCTGGCATTGAGAGTGTCCATGGGCGGCGGTATCACTTAACATCAGGTGAGCCTCCTGCCCGTTTGCCCCCCGTTCTATAAAAAAAAAAAAAAACGTGTGACCTACTTCGTATTTTACTAAAACATTACTTTTAAAAAAAATGGTACCAAATGGCCACCAATTTATTATAATGCAGTAAAATATTTGTTTTAACACAACTATATAAGGAATAGCGAACTTCCATCTTACGTAACAGGGAGTTTTGCTCTGTTCTTGCGGAACGTAATGATGTCATGCGGAAAACACGGAAAGGGAACGCAATCTTAAGCGGTTCAATGAGAATGGCATATGTGGAATTAAAGGTAAAAGGCTTTACAATCAGAACCTTTGAATGTATGCCAGCATTCCTTAATCATAAATATATTTTATAATTCCTTTTAATTATATCATTTTTTACATAAATTTATAGTATTTTTTCTATATTTTAAAATTATTTACAAAACTGACTCTTAAAAAAGTTTTAGTGATGAGTGAAAGGTCCAACGTTCAGTAATAGTTAATTTTTGTTTGCAATTTATTTATTTACTTTATTTAAACTTTGTTATATAACAAAAAAAAGCAAAAACATAAATGATTAGTGATGCAACGGGCGGCCTTATCGCTAACACGCGATTTCATTCAAGTACATAAGGATAAAATAACTAAAACAAAATAATACAAGTAACACTGCAAAATTATACAACTACCAAACTGAATCTAAAATAAAAATAGACCAATAACTCAAAGCTTTACGTTCATGACATACAATGCAATACAAAAGAAAATAAAATGCATACAAAAATATTACTCGTCTCTAAAACTCTTATCAGGAATAACCTGCCAACGCATTTAATACATCAAAAATACTGATAAAGCTTAACAACAACCAAATAAGCAATTAATCCGATTACATGAATTTTCTCGGATTAATTAAAATAATTTATTTTATTATACCTGTCCTTTTAGCACCGTCTCATTACTCAGTCCGTGGCTTAACTTAATGATACTCGGCCGCAATTTCGTTATTTCGCATCGAAGCCGTAATGGGATAATACGAAGATATACTCGTAATATCATTAGAAATGCGATCAACATAATTTTAATAATTATATAAAAGATTATCTGTAGCTATAACTGTTGCATATTTTTGTAAAATTTATCACTTTTCATTATGGAGTAATTTATTTATTTATTTATTTGCTCAACGGTATTCCTACAGCTACTTATTAAACAATATTCAAACAATTACACTGTACACAAAGGCCAAAAACGGAATACACATTTAAACATCCACAAAGCACAGTTTCACCAATACAAATACAAATAATATATGTAATAATAATAACACTAACCTGAATTAATTTAACTTACCCAGCAATATCTACTTCTATACTGATATTTTAAGAGATAACGATCTACATTGTTTCAAGAAAGATTATACTCCTACCTCAAAGGCCGGGACGCACCCACTAAAATGGGTGTCCTTCCTGCGATGGGTGCCCTTATTGGGCATCCCTTAGGCGTAACTTTGTGAGGTTATAGGAACTTCTGGACAAACATACGAATTTTGAAAATTATTTTACTCAGAGAAAGCCACGTTACTTGCATCGTATTGAGTGTCATAGGACATTAAACGTGCCAAGTCTACTTGAGCCGACTGGTATTGCAAGAGGCAGGACGGTATGAGTTTGATTCCATGGAAGATGGGCCGGGTGCCGGTATGGAATGCCACTTGTTCAGACACGCTGGCCTTCCTATCTACATGGAATCAATAACAGAGCTGGTGCAGCTTGTAAAGCAGCTGAAAAAAGCATGCAAATACAGGGGCTCCGAATATAATTTTGTCCTATTCGGTGTCGAGACCCTAGCGCTATAATGCTTTTGAAGGAAATAGAAAATAGGGTAGTCGACATCACTAGAGACCGAAGAGCTGGCAGCTCTCTCGGACTAAGAATTAGTATAGCTATTCAAATGGAGAACGCTGCCAGTATCTTCGGAACCTTGCCTAAAGGGAATTCTTTTAATAGTATATTTTAGTTATTAGTTTATATTTTTTAAGGTTGTTACTAGATTTAATTTCAGTAAACAGAATAAAAAAAGCCTTTTCGTGAATTTGTAACGTGAGTAGATGTAAGGCTTGATAATGACTACAAAAAGTCAAAGTAATAGATAGGATATGTCTTACTTTTATATTATATACTGTTCGTCTGTTTGCGACAAAATCAAATACACACCAATATGCATAATAATTCATGAGGAAGGTTTACATACCATAAGCTAAAACACATTAATTTGTATATGGTTAAAAGACCAAGTTCAAAATAATATAAAACAGTTTGTTAGTGAAATGTTTATTACATAATTAAAATAAGCGGAATAATGTCGAATAAAATGTATTATGCCACGAGTGTTGGTACTTGACATCTCGGTGATTACTGAAACTTAAAATCGGCCATTTTGTTAATACCTACTAGCAACAACGATGGAATGTCTGTCAAAATGACGAAGCTGTCTCTTGATGGCCATCACTACTGATACTCGGTGTGTGGAGTATGTAATGTTGTTAATCAAAGTTCGCTTGTCTGATTGCAAACTCAAGTTTATGGACACGGAGTTTCATGATGTTTTATGACTAGATAAACTGATTCATTAGGCAGGTTTAGGTGTATAATTTGTCACGGTTTTGTGTAAATGACTTGAAAAATGACGGTAATTTTTATACAAAGTTTAGCCGCCTGGGGCGAAGACGGGTTGGTAGAAATATAATAAAATTGGGTTTATATCCGTAGAGAAGCTTTATTTAATCAATTAAGTATTGCACTCTTAGACTTTTCTGGGTTTAAGATGGGTATTTTTGTGGTAAAACAATATTTTTCTTAACCTACATAGTAATAATAAAAATAACTAAAAATTAATAAAAAGAAAATTAAAACAAATTTAAAAAGTTTGGTCCCTGTGGCAGTGTACTTTTAACGCTGGCAGCGTTTTCTCGCTGTATTGCAATACTTATTTGTTGAGCAAGGAAAGCACCAGCTCTGGCGCCACCAGTACTATTTACCAGGCGTCAACTTAAATCTTTAATTAGCGCCTGTGCACTTGAACCCTACTGCCCATTTAGTGGTAAAATAGATTTTTCGTCATCATTATCCTTTTGCTTTTGCCACTTAATATGCTTACATTATGGGTGACATGTCAATCACTGCCTATCTTGGACATTTACAAATTACATAAAATAAAATACCGTGTAGCAACTTCAATATGGTAATGGGCCTTGGTTGGTCGAAAACATCTTTGGCAACCACGTCTTTAGGAGATTTATATAAATCAAAATAAAGTGCTCCAAAATCAGCATTATTAAATAGCACGGCAATAGCATGAATGGATTAGCAGATGCAATTTGCTGCTTAATTTCTGCTACACAGGTGCTACGCTTTTGCTACGACGTCGCTACGCTTAACAGAATTAGTAGTTAAACTATTTAAAGTGCATCAATTCTGTCAATTGTTAAATTACGGTTCTGGGTTATTTAAGTTATGATTCTTATTAAATTATATCCAACAGATTGAGGATAAAAATTTCTACGTAAGATTCTTTTATAAGGGTCTTATCAAAACTATACATTGAGATTGATGTATTTCCTTATGACGGCCCGAGTAAGATACTACCCTTGAAACTTTACCATCGCCAGTGGACTTTATTAGCCAAAATCAAATATTCATCATTATCACCCGTTCCAAAAGCTTTTCCAGGCTGAGTCATAAAAAACTTTGAAGATCCTTGTTATATTTGAAGTAGCCTGTTAGCGTACGTCTGAGAGTGACAAATTTTCTACCAAGATACCTTTTCTTTTTACTCAGGGGAAAACATTTCCGCACAGAGTGTGGGTCTCGCCATAACAGCTCTACCCACTAAACCCATACCACCAATCACTTTACTGTTAGGAAACTTGGGTTCGTCACATTCTACCAAGAGACCCCATGACTAGCTGCAACGGCAACCATCTTCCAATACATTAACATCACATATATCAAGATTTTTTTAAATTTACAATTTTACACTGCCCATGAACACTAATAGAACGCTTACGCGTGACCGAACTTTTGAACGTTACGCTTTCTTTGAAACGCCAACTGCCGTCAATAAGTCTTTATATCAATAATTGAATAAATGAGTAATAATAAAAAAAAATCAGTGGCGCTACAATTGGGCCGCAGATTTCTGTATCTGTTTCATGATCATCACGTCAATCTAATAGGCAAGTGGGTGATCAGCCACACGCCGTCAACTTTTTGGGTCTAACGCAAGCCGGTTTGCTCAAGATGTTTTCCGTTACCGTTCGAGCGAATGTTAAATGCGCACATAGAAAGAAAGTTCGTTGGTGCACAGTCGGGGATCGAATCTCAGTACCAATAGCTCAAGGCCAACACTGCTTTGAGTAACAATGGTTTAATTATTTATTTCCATTAGTACAGGTTATAGTGAAAAAATGCATACCTATTATTAGCTTCCTCAGGTCCTGTAACTGCGTGATGGACAGTCTTGCCTCGTTTGCGTCTCCGTGTCCTTTTTCTTGAGTAGGAAGCCAATAAAAGACCCTTTCTCGCATCTATTCTCTTCTTTTTGTCTTTTCCTAGGGTCCGAACTGCCAGTGATGATGGATCGAAGCTAAATGTTGAATCTTCGCGGTGTTCGTTCAAATCTTTCTTTCTTTCCTAATAAGAAAAATACTTTTAATATAGACTATACACGCTATGTCTAGTGTATACAAAGGCAAAGAGGTTCTATTCTAAAAGTATTGCGTTAGTCTGCTTTGATTTTGAAATAAACATTAAAATTATATTGATTTGTAATTATTTTAGCAGATTATTATCAACAATTATATATTTTAACTTGCCGCCCCCGCGAACTTCGTTTCACCTTAATGTGATTTTACTTAGCCTACCTTTTTAGTACATACCAATATGGAACATTTTGCTATGCTACCCTAGACACTGTTCAGTTTTCTAGAATGAAAACTTTTTAGGTTTTTCTGTGAATTTTTCTCTATATGAACCTCAGAGTTCAAGTCATAACATGTTAATTAACTAATAAAAAATAGGGCTTTATATTAGAGGGGTGAACATTAAGGGGTTTATGTATTTTGTATACTGTATCATAAAAAAAATAAAACGAAAATAATTATCTTATAAATAAAAATTAAAATTTAGGGGTTTGAAAGATGGATAGTAGCCGATTCTGAGACTTACTGAATATGCATAATATAAAAACACATGAATCGGTCGAGCCATCTCGGACTAGTATGGGAACGAACATTGTGATACGATAATTTTATATATTAGATATATCTTTGTGTAAATAAGACAGGATTTATTTACTTGTATATTTAAAATCACATCGCTTCTTAAAAATGCTAAATTTAACATAAATAGAACACAAACTGTGTTTTGTTATACGTAATGATGATATTTACTTTGACATGCCCATTAATAAGATATCTTTATCAGATCGCGTTAGCTTACCTCCTGTGTGATCTGAGATTCTTCTTCGTAGCTGAGCGCTACGACAGCCAACATCAAGTTAATCAGGTAGAAGGATCCAAAAAACACCACCACAGTGAAAAAAGACACAGACATTGGACCACACGATGATAGCACCTGTAATAACATATGTTGTGAACTTTAAAAGGCATTGATTGCTGATTAACTTCTAATTATCATGTCATAAAAGTGGTTTCTGAAACTGTACATACATTCACTGTGCTGGGTGGTAGACCAAATTGATAAAAAAATCAATGGCGCTACAACCATTTTTAGGTCTGGGTCTCAGATTTCTGTATCTGTTTCATGATCATTTGGTAATCTACTAGGCAAGTAGGGGATCAGCCTTCAGTGCCTGACGTAGGCTGTTGTTTTTTTGGGGCTAAGGCAAGCTGGTTTCCTCACGATATTTTCCTTCACGGTTCGAGCGAATGTTAAATGTGCACATAGAAAGAAATTTGGTGCACAGCCGGGGATCGAACCTACGACCTCAGAGATGAGAGTCGCACGCTGAAGCCACTAGGCCAACACTGCTCTATATACCACATTGTTACTATTGATAATATCTTAAGTGATTGGTTTATTGAGATGTATTTTCAAAGTGTATTACCTCAATTAGGGCGAATATTAAAAGCTCTGTAAAGTTATTTGTGTTTACAACGGCCTTGTATTCGTTTGAGGCTGTAATGCGAACCCAATTACCCTAAATTTGACTAATTCGGGTTCTCCTAAATATCTCATATTATCTTAATTATTATGTACATTTAGAAGAGCACATATAAAGATTGAAATATCGTATATGGTTATTTATGTTTTTCACTTCAAGATACGAATACTAATGCCATATTTCCATTAATATTGATAAACTATAATATTACTTAATCTAATAATTAATTATATATAGGTAATTTTGAAATATAATAATATATGCCAAAACATTTTGGATTTTGACATACGAGAGTCACAGCTATCTCGACTCTGATTCTTACTCTAAGATATAAACTTCAACGATTTTTTAGAGTTCCTTCGTTTTTAAAGGTATTTAAATTCTGCAAAAAATTGTCGACTAAACAAAACTGCTAAAGTAACGAAAAAGAAAAAATTAAGTGTACTTTAACACAATAAAATGTCATTGATAAATATCAACTCTTTGACTAACTTTTGTCAGGCGTTCTCGTTAATTTTGAATGATTTATTACGCATAAAATCAATACTATTTTTAAACATCATACGAAAGTGAAGCCACCCAAGACACAAGAGTTGTTTTTAAACGAAACCCCAATACCTCCCCTCCCATAAAGATAATCATCCCTGCACAACGAAGGATGAGGATAAGCTATAAGAATAATGGAGCACTGTTACAGTGACACTACCAGTGACCTACGGCATCGCTCAAATTCGAAACGAAACTCTTCAAACTGTCAATATGGCGTCGGCAAACCACAACTTTGATGGTGTTTTCCAAATTGTCATGAAAAACAACAAGTACAATGGAAGAGTGTAGTGACAATATTATTGTGAATTTAACTTAAGCAATTTAATTTTAAAAGAAATATTTTTTATGGCATATGTTTATCTTTTCTATTTCTGCTAAATAATAACTCTATCGTACGAATGGCCTAAGCATTAGCCAGCCAGTTTATTCAATGTTGTTACAAACGCTGAATATCTTGCAGGCCGTTAGTTAAACGGCACCGTTTAGTAAAAAGGCTAGGCTGTTAATTGAACGGCTAATTAAGCTAGTTGGCTGCCACATTTACATCACCCTCTAGTAACTTTAATTCTTATTTTGTATATTTTATAAATTAAAAGTGTAATCATTAAAAAAAAAATAATATGTCACAAGTGGAGATATTTTAAGTCGTATATGAGCAAATAAAAATGCGAAGCCTCTCGCTTAGGACGTCGGTATTGATTAAACTCGAGTTTTAAATAATCCACAGTAAACCCATGACAAAAGATACATTAGGAAGCTTAATTAATATCCATAAAGCCTTCGGTAACAGCCTTTGTTGTGGTAGGATGAGAATGTAACAGAGAATTTGTACTTTATATCACAATTACTTCCGAGCTGTCACTCAAGCATGGACGGTTTCCGTTTTATGTCAATTTGGTTGATATTATTTTTGCTCGAGTTTAGGAAACATAAATTCTGATGATGATACTCGTTTAGTAGTCACAACTTAATGATTTATGACTTTATTAACAGTTAAAGCTCGCGAAACATTAGGACTTGTTGACTGTTTTATAAATTTAAATGGAATGTAAACTTTATCCCAGATAAGTAATATATAAGTCAAGTTAAACTAACTTAACTAACTAGTTAAAATAACTTTATTCGTAAAGGTAAACAAGTACACTTATGAACGTCAGTAAAGAAGTTAAATTAATTCTAAATTTACATTTACTACCAGTTCGCAAGTCAAGGGCGTAGAGTGGGCATGAAGAACTGGCAAGAATCTTTCCGCCACTCTTTTTAATCGCTAAGTTTTGAGTCGTACAAATTGTTTGAACTGGAGCAAATCAATCCCAAGGATTAGAATCATTTAAATATTCGTAAAATTTATAAAAATCTTTATTGATTTATTTACCTCAAGATAAGTCCAGTGTTCTCATTTTGGGTAAACATTGACTTATTTTTAATTATTTGTATTTTTAAAAAGTTACTACTAATGCAAAAAAAAAACGAATACAAAAATGTTACTAAAAACATAATAATATTATATACACAAAATGTATGTCAAGTATTAATAAAAACAAAATAAAACAAGAAAAACATAAAAGCCTAAACCTAATAACTAATTATTAAGTTTTACGATGCCGTGACTCCACAGAATATATAAATAAGGATTTAGGTCTAGGATAAATAAAAAGTTACGAAGTCACTACTGAAGTAAGTGTGTCGCAGGATTAAATAATCCTACTTATATAGAAAAATAAATACGACCCTTGAAAACCTTTTTTATCTAACAAATTTTGGCTTCTAGAAGATCTTTATAATAAAATAAAAATAAAAAAGCCTTTTTATTTCTTGAAAACAAATTACACTATTTTTTTATTATTATAATTTTTTTTTCTATTTTTATATCTGTTTCCCAATTATTTTGCAAAAACCCTTCCGCAGGTGAAGGCCTCCAAGGAACTACAGGTATCTCGGTTTTGGGTGAGTTTCATCCAGCTCGAGCCAGCCGTTTTAGCAATGTCGTCTGCCCATCTTCATCTCTTTAGAGCATAGTTTAGCGCATCAGTAGCTTTTATAACGCTTCTTATCTTTGAGTGTCTTATTTTATTAATTTTTCTAATGTTAAGCATGCTCCGTTCTCGACCCCTTTGACAAGTTCTGATATTTCTTTTAAAAAAAAGATCTTTATATATTGTTAATATTATAATTCAAAATATATGCCCAAAACTTACCATATTATATACATTCTCCCAATAATCCAGGGTGATGAGTTGGAATGTTGTCAGCATGGACCAGAGGAAATTATCGAAATTGGTGTAGCCATGGTTCGGGTTAGGCCCCACACAGAGACACGTGTAACCTGCAGGACAGTGCCTGGCGCCTGTGAGGTTCCCGCATAGGGTTGGAAGCTCATCACCATTCATCATCCAATGGTCAGGTATCTTTATCCATCTGTAAATAGGAGCAATGGTTTGCAAACGTTATTCAGATGCCCATATTCATACACTTGTCTCAAATCAAAATCTTGTCTTTATGATGTGTCAAAACTGTTCATAAACGTCATAGAAAAATAATTAGTGTGTGTAAAATTATAGTGTGACAAAATGTTGATTAGGTTTGCATTTTCAGAAGAAGACTTCTCTTAGGCCCATATTCTATGTAACACTCAAGCTCTTCTTGAATATTGTCAAACTTCATAGATAAAAAATAGATTGAAACTAAGTCACTGTTTTGGCTAGAATAGCTTAATTTTGACACAAATCTGACTTTGACGATTGATCTAATCAAATTCGTTAAAAAATCTTCATTGACATAAATGAAATTAAAAAAAGTATTGTTTTAAGAAATGTCAACTCAAACACAACGCAATATTTGTAAATAAAAAAATGGATATGTCATAGTCATAGTGTAAATGAGAAATAATTACTAATAATTCGAATGCATTTTCATAATGTGCTGAAAATGCATTGGATGAATGAACTATTTTTTTATATACAAATCTAATACAATCAATGTTGACACTTTCTTGGGAAAAGAATTAGATCTTAATTAAATACAGATTAATTTATGTAAATATTATTTCAAAGTGATTAATTTATACAGGCTTGAACGGTTCTTTGGTTTATCAGAGATGTTACTCAAGAATGTCGTATTTTACGGTTATACAGGGTGTATCAAAAAAGTGTTTATTCATTATTAAAGTACACATTATGGGAATTTTTCTTTATTCCTACATCTAAGTTCGGGAATCTAAAGTTTTAGATTTGTATAAATATGAACAAGACTTAAAAATTACGAGAGAGAAGTTTCACTTGTGACATGTGTACCTACTTTGTACGCACGCACTTTTTTGTATTTACGCGAAATGATTATAGTATTATTACATTTTACAGTAGTTTCAAAGAAATTGCGTTATACTTACTCCGCCCAAAGCTCATCAGTGAAGTTCTCTCCCACGGGTAACTCCAAATTCTTCACACATTTGTTTCTCAGTTCTCCCATGTACACTTGCAGGGCAAATAATGCGAATACCATTAAACAGAATATTGTTAACGTCATTACTTCCGCCAGCTGCTTGAACGAGTGGAGGAGTGCGTTGATGATGGTTTTCAGACCTGCGCAAGATTATATAATTTATGTAAAAGAAATATTATCAATTAACATTTCGGACCAGTTCTTAAATTAAGGGGGTAGAGCGGACGAAAATAACTGGTAAAAAACTCTCCGATAGTCATAAGTTCTAATTTTAATCAACATTGGGTGTGTCAATTACATTTAGAAACAATTCTTAAAAAAAGGGCGTAGCGATTCAAAAATATTGGCAATAAACTCTTCGCTTTTAAATCCTTATTCATTCAACAAGAACCAACATAGCCATGAATCACATTAGGTAATATACTTTACTATCTATGCCTCGAGATTGCTCGCGTTTATTTGATCGATGTTATATAGCTTTTAACCTTCCTAAATAAATAGACTATTGAACATATATATCTTTTTTCCAATTTAAGCTAGTTCTTCATTAAATATACCTATTTTTCATTACGTTGAGCCTGTACGAGCCAAGGCTGTACATTTTGCTCACTCAGACTTTCTTAGTTTTATAAGCGTGACGATTTCCTAAATCGTCGGAGTTACGCCCCGAGAATATAGCCAGACATAGGCATAAACTGTTACATTGCATTCATTGTTACATAGCAATTGAAATACAACGCCCATTATTTTTACTGAAGGGAGCTACTGCAATTTAATTCAAATTTACATGTAAAATTACAAGTCAACATAGGATCAAACAATTCTACCAATTCGAAAGACTATTTAATAAAACAAGACCCTCCAACTTCGCTTCAATTCAAGACAATAGAATAAAAGCTTGAGTTATATATGCAGGAGAATAACATGGAAAAAAGGTTTTATTAGCGTGTTTTTCCCTATTATATATTAATTTTTCCAACGTACAATACAAAATGTATAAATATTTTGATCATACATGTCTTCAATACGAATCGTTACTGTCACGTTGTTTATAAGTTATTTTCATAGTTTCGTCGTTCTTTAGATAATTATTAAGCCTTTATTGCTGACACCTAGTGTAATATATCTAAACATTGCTTTAGTTACATAACCTAACTTAATCAAATACATCAGATGAGCCGGTTTTGGTGATCAGCGTGTCCTATGACACATAGGTCTCTTCCAGCTGCTTCCATTCTTTTCTAATGTTAGCTCTTCTTGTCCAAGTTGTGTCTCCCATTCTATTTATATCGTCTGCCCATTTCTTGCTCTGTCTTACTCTTTTTCTTTTTCCACTATTCTCAATGATAGACGATTCAGAGTGGCGATATAAAGTATTTTCAATTAGGTTTGAGTGTTTGAACTATTCAGTGTTCATGTTTTTGAAATTTTTGTTATCTCGTTTCTCAACTGTTCTTTAGATACATAAATATTAATCTAGAGATACTCCAATGGAAAGCACAATAAACTTTGTAAGCTCGGGATATGTCAAACGTAATTTTTTTCGAATCACGCTGTTGGCCTGAAGGCCCTGACATCTTAGCTCAGGCTATTTGGCGAACATATCTCTGCCTGACGAAGGGTTTTCCCCACACGGAATACAAGTACATACTGTAGTAATATATTACAAGACTAACATACTGAAAAAAACTAGCATGTTGCAGAAAAATATATTTTTGGGGACAATGGGAGAGTTATCATTTACAAAATGATATTTAAAAGATACAAAGCTCGTGACTGAAGCTTATCCCGTTTTTTTCAAGGAATATAAACATTAGTGAGTCAGCAAATTTGATCACTCACAAACATCCCCTTATAAATGGTGGCTTAAAAGGGTCCTTTTAGAAAGTTCAAAGTAAATCGCGAAATCCCTTTTCACCTAGAAGCTAAGTAGGATTTTCCTATTTATCTATTTTATATCTTTTTTACGACTCATTGGACTAGTGGTTAGTAACCCCTGACTGCGAATCCATGGGTCCCGGGTTCGATCCCCGGCTGAGACGAACATCGATGTGATGAGCATTTGGTGTTGTGCTTAGGTCTTGGTTGTTTAAATATGTATTTATATCTATCTATCTATAATAATATGTATGTATATCCGTTGCCTAGTACCCATAACACAAGCTTCACCAGCTTAGCATGGGACTAGGTCAATTGGTGTGAATTGTCTTTAAAAAAAAAAAAAATCTACAATCAATTATTTGACCTAGTAAAAATAATGAATATATATATATATATAGAATACTTGTTAATTATAATGAAGTAGCTGCCAAGGCGAAGCTTTATACGCCTAAATGAAAATTATCGAAAAATTAAAATACTTTTTTTATCACGAGTTATGTAACCTAACATTAGTTACATTTATATGTTTTAGTTAATAATTAGAAGCGCAAACCAAATGCTGGCAATTATCGTATACTTGAAGCCAAAATGAGCCCTTTGATTTTTCCCACCCTCATAAATTGTAATATAACTCGTTTCCGATAATGTCCAATAGATCGACATTACTCATATTCTTTAAAGTTGACATAAGTTTCACTTAGATTTAAGAACCCTTTAATAAGTCAAGTTAGTTTTTTGTTAGTCTAGCATCGCAATCCTAATTTTATGTTTGTTATAAGATCAAGTTTTAAACGATTAAAGCCAGTTGAGAGAGTTTCATTTAATATATATTTCATTTTTATATACAACAACCACCGCCAAACTTAACTCGCTGTAGATAATTTTTTAAACTCGAAGTTCACTTGAATTCATATAATACTAAATAGTGTGTTACGAATTATTTGGCCAAAATATAGTAATACTATCTTATGTATAAAACTGTGAGATAACATTATTAATACAGTGGAATCTCGATAATAATAAATGTCCAGCAATTATATTTACTGTTAAACGTATAGCTAAGGTTCCTGGTCAAATAATATTTCTAATTGTCTCAATTAAAACTATAAATGGTATTAAAATTCTTGGTGTTCCTTGGGGAATTATATGGATAAATATATGTTTGGAAATTATTAATTCCGATAACTCGAATGTCAAGGGAACGGATTAACGAGATTCCACCGTATGTCGCTAAACAATATAAATTCAATGTTAATTCTGTGATCAATTACAATACACATTTATTTGGAAATCTTTTAATTTAGGGTTTATTAAAAAGTTGCTACAACGCAAACCAAATTCCAAATATCAGCTTATAACTACATGATTAAACTCACCAGGCATAATAGAAACCGTTTTCAGCGCTCGTAAAACACGAAATGTTCGTAAACCGGCCAAGTTTCCGACCTCCATGCCAATGGTGGCGTATCCAGATGTGATTACAACAAAATCCAACCAATTCCACGGATTCCGTAGGTACGTATACTTGTTTAATATGAATCCTTTTGCAATACACTTAATTATCATCTCCGCCGTATAGATCGCCAGGAATATGTATCTGAAACAATATTACATTATTAGAAATTAAAGCTAGAACTTTTTATGATTCCTCGTTAATCGTGTTATCCTAGTACTATTTTTTCTGATTGAAATAAAAACAGATAGTTTGTTTATAGACCAGGGTAGAAAGAAAGAAGCCTTTAAAAATAAATAAAAAAATAATAGTAGGATGAAACCTATTGGAAAAGGAGTAGAATATTATAAAAATTAAAGGAAAAATAATTTACGGGCTATCTGAGGTCGGGAATGGGTAGGGGGGGCTAGATTTAAGGGTAAAAAACGGTTTATCTCGATTTCCGGCAAAGCTAAAAGTCCTATGGAAAAAAATCAAATGGCAAAGTTGTAGGAAATAAAAAGATCTAAAACTTTTTTTTGTATTTACACATTTTTCACATAACCTCAAAATTTATGTGAAAAATTAAAAAAAACAAGTTTTTGGTTTTTAATTTTTATCTTTTACAAAATTTATTTTTTTCCCACGAAATTTGGTGAAAACTTACCTTTTTATGTCTTTAATACGCTGTAATTTATTTGATTTGAAATAATAATTTTTTCACCTTATTTTGAATTAATATCGAAAAAGCACCCTAATTTTCAATCGAAAATTCACCCGTCAAAATATCAGCTTTGTTTAAAAAGTTGGTGTGCTTTCAGTTCGTTGAAATCTCTACTTTCCTATGGTAAAAAAAATATATATATATATTACCATAGTAAATCTTCTCAGAAAATGCAAAAAATCGTATGCAGTAAGGCCCAGACCCGTCATCCCCTTCCCTACGTCTCTGTTTGTCATTGTTTGAAAAAATAAGAAAGGCTTACTAAAGCGGAAATGTACGTGTGGTTTCTTATATAATAAAAGTTATTATGTAATAAATATGAACATTGAACATTCTTCGACTTCACAGAAGACCGAAGAGCTGGCAGCTACCTCGGAGAAAGAATTAGTCTAACTATTCAAATGGGGAACGCTGCCAGTATCTTCGGAACCTTGCCTAAAGGGACTCCTTTTAATAATATATTTTAGTTATTATATTTTAAGGTTAGTTATTGTTTTTCTGTTATCTTTTTTATTTGTAATATATCATTTGTATATCAATATGTTATATTTGATTACATTTATGGTATGTTTTAATATTTTTTTATTATTATTAGCGATTATCAGTACGGCTTTCGTCGTGGTCGTTCGGCTGGTGACCATCTTGTATACCTTAAACATAAATGGGCAGAGGCAATTGAGTCCAAGGGGGAGGCGCTAGCGGTTAGTTTGGACATAGCGAAAGCCTTCGATCGGGTGTGGCACAGAGCACTGCTCTCGAAGCTTCCAGCCTATGGGCTTCCCGAGAAATTACGCGATTGGATCTCCAGCTTTCTGGCCGATCGGAGCATCAAGGTCGTCATCGACGGAGCATGTTCCGACCTAAAACCCGTAAACGCTGGGGTCCCACAAGGCTGTGTTCTATCCCCGACCCTATTTCTTCTGCATATCAATGATATGTTGAAACTTAGCAACATTCATTGCTATGCGGATGACAGCACTGGGGATACTTTTTACACTGGCCGGGCAGGTATTTCTCGGGCAGTTGTTGATGAGTACCGGAACAAACGTGTGTCTGAAGTCGAAACTCTACTACGTGGAGTCTCAGATTGGGGCAGACAAAACCTAGTCCAATTTAACCCCAAGAAGACACAAGTTTGCGCGTTTTCCGCTAAAAAACACCCTTTGTCGCTACTCCTCTTTTCGAAAAATTTTCGTTAACGTTATACACACAAAGTACAATCATTAATATTTTCACAAAATTGCAAAACATAAATATACGTAGTTACGTAAAAATGCTATCTAAATTTTATTTGTCTAATCCGAGTTTTGTTCAACGAATTGTGCATTTTTCATACAAAACAAAGCTTTTTAATTTATTTATAGTCAGTTCGCAAACTGTATGAGGAAATAGAAAAATATGCATTGCGCTCGAAAGCTCGATTTTGCTCGGACAATAAAATTTTTAGGTTTATTTTCAAAACATGACATTCGAAATCCTTAAAGCGATAAGCTGTGAGATTTTGAATACCAATAATTTAAATATGTAACATACTGCCTTTTGCTACGATGACCGCGTTTTTAAACTGTTTCTACAAATCACATTTTCACTTATATGTACCCAATTTTAATCGCTAAGACAAAAACTCTGTTTTAAAGTCGGGACGATATCTTTTTATCAACTGAAATTTATTGAAATTGTTAAAATAAAGTTTTTAGCTTCTAAAATAGTATAGTATCTTTGAGTCAACTACTGGATATATTGTAGTGTCCTTGTTGGGTTTCTAAACTTTCTCGCCGCCAAGAGAACGATTTCTCAAGTTTAAAGCTATTGCATAGAAGTTCGAGCACAGAATAAATAAAGTTATGATTAAACATTAGTCTCTGGCTCTAGCGGGAGACCATGGAGTATAGAGTGGAGTATAGATAGTTGAGCGCTCGAGGCACTTAAGCGTAACTAATTTAGTTATGTCTTTAGCCATCAAAGACTCGAGCTTGCTATTTTATTACTTATTCAATAAAGTAGTGAACCATTTTTTCATTTGAAATTAACTAAGAAAGGGACAATAAGTCGTCATTGCTATGGGGTTGGGTGTTAAATACCACCGCACTTTTTTGACGATACTAATTATCTAGGAGTGTCCGGGGACCTTCATTGGAACACCTCCAAGTGAGTTTTGCTCCGGAAACGCGTCTAAATATTTTTATAAAAAATTTAAAGTTTTGTGTAATGTATTAAAATTTGTAAACAATCCGCCATTTTCTACTTTTCTATTGGTTATAAGTGATGTGACGTTCACTTAAAAAAATCGTGTTTTTAATTTATCGATTGTTAATAATCGTTTTATTTATTTATCGATTATTTCCTCATTTTTGAAATTTAAAGTTATAGAATAATCAACATTGAAATTAACCTAATTTCGTGTTGATAGATTATAGGGTTCCGAATTTTTTTGAAATTATCGATACCTACTCGTCTGTATTTTCTAATTAGTACTTGTATTTCATTGTTTGCAACTTTCTATATTATTTAATTTTTACTAGAATAAAGTGTTTACTTTAATATCCAAAAAGTACCCAAAACCGAATCAGAGCACCCCACTATCCACGTGGTCTTGTCTGTCTTACCCCTAGAGTGTATATAAATAATCGGAGGCGCGGAGGAAGAGCAGCCCCCACCCGCTGTAACAAAGCACAGGCATTATGAAAGCTGTAGCGGCTGAGGCTGGTCGCCGAAGGCGACCAAAAAGCCGAGGTTGCGGAGGCTTGAATAAAATGCCTGTGCTTTGGTACGCAAGGGTGGAGGGGCTGCATTTCCCGTAGCGCCGGAGCTGTCCACAAAAACAAATATTATTTAGATTGGTTAGGTTAGAGTTAGTATATGAATATTTGGTCGCCGAAGGCGACCAGGACGCCGAGAAGCCGAGGCTTGAATAAACAATTACTATTTAGATCGGAGCTGTCCACAAAAAAAAATATTATTTAGATTGGTTAGGTTAGAGTTAGTATATGAATATTTGGTCGCCGAAGGCGACCAGGACGCCGAGAAGCCGAGGCTTGAATAAACAATTACTATTTAGATCGGAGCTGTCCACAAAAACAAATATTATTTAGATTGGTTAGGTTAGAGTTAGTATATGAATATTTGGTCGCCGAAGGCGACCAGGACGCCGAGAAGCCGAGGCTTGAATAAACAATTACTATTTAGATCGGAGCTGTCCACAAAAACAAATATTATTTAGATTGGTTAGGTTAGAGTTAGTATATGAATATTTGGTCGCCGAAGGCGACCAGGACGCTCGAGAAGCCGAGGCTTGAATAAACAATTACTATTTAGATCGGAGCTGTCCACAAAAAAAATATTATTTAGATTGGTTAGGTTAGAGTTAGTATATGAATATTTGGTCGCCGAAGGCGACCAGGACGCCGAGAAGCCGAGGCTTGAATAAACAATTACTATTTAGATCGGAGCTGTCCACAAAAACAAATATTATTTAGATTGGTTAGGTTAGAGTTAGTATATGAATATTTGGTCGCCGAATTTTCAATTATTTTTAATATTAAAATCGAATACAAAAATCGATTTTCACTTTTAAAAAAATCGATTATTTTTCACATCCCTATTAATTTTATAAACTTAATCGGCCATTTTGAATGTGGTTTATGCTAGACTAGCGGTAATTAGTTTTACAGTGCAAAGTTTACTTTATAAATCTTTATAAAATTTTTGACGCGTTTCCGGAGCAAAACTCACTTGGAGGTGTTCCAATGAAGGTCCTCCGAGACTCCTAAATAATTAGTATCGTCAAAAAAGTGCGATGGTATTCAAAACTGTTACCTTGCTATGAATCCTATAATATGTTCTATAGAAAGGACTTTTGACAGTATTTTATTCAACACATTGATAGCCACTAATGTTTAAGACAGAATACAGAGAAATAACATACATTAGTGGCTTTATTTGTATATATGTTCACATTTTCGTGTGGATTAGTATCTAAGGAACGAGGAAGGCTTCGAGGTTTTTATGATTTCCGGAGATACAATTGTTACCCATGAAAGCTTAAAGTCGTTTGTCTAGTTTATTCAGTAATAGAGCTAGTTTATTTATATAAAATATTTAACTTTAATAATCATACTAATCTTCTTACAAAATTTTCCTTTCTTTGTAATCCTAGAGTTAACTAGAGTTAATATAACTAAAAGTCTTCTATACGTACCTACGGCTCGCATATCTGCTACTTTTAATGGTCCAGTGAATAGGCTATCTCGCTCTTACAACTTGATTACTAACATTGATGAAAATATTGATGTGTTTTACAACAGTCTACCAACAGACCGTAACTTTGATTTGCAGGCTCTTAATGTGGGTTAAGTTTTCATTTAGTTTTGTTTATTACTGTTATTTTTCTTTTTAGTTTTAGTTATTATTAATTTTTAATTATTATTTTTATATTTTTTTTTGTTTTGTTTTATATTTTTTTATTTTGTGGTTGTTTGTTTAATTTTTTCCTTTATTGCTTATGTTTTGTAATGTAATTGATGTGTTGTGTGTTAAATTTGTGATGTTATATTTTCTTGTATTTTTTAGGTCTACACATTGTTTTAGAATGTGTAAATAAATATGCCTTTCCCCGTACGAGTATTGTATACGCACATATAATAAAACATCAAACTCAAACTCAAACTCAAAATATCTTTATTCAAGTGGGTAACCAAGTACACTTTTGAATCGTCAAGTTAAATTAATCGTAAATTTACATTTACTACCAGTTCGCAAGTCAAGGGCGTAGAGCGGGTAAGAAGAACTGGCAAGAAACTTTCCGCCACTCTTTTTAATCGCCAAGTATTGTCATACAAATTGTTTGAACTGGAGCAAATCAATCCCAAGGATTAGGATCATTTAAGTAGTCCTCAAATTTATAAAAAGCTTTGTTGATTAATTTTCGTTTAACGAGGGCTTTGAATTTATTTAGTGATAATACTCTAATTTCGCTTGGGAGTTTGTTGTAAAAACGAATACAATTTCCATATAAGGAGTGGTTTATCTTTTGGAGCCTGGTTGGTCTTACACTCAAATTAGTTCTATTTCGCGTATTATACTGGTGAAAGTCACCATTTGTTTTAAAATCGTTTATATTTTTTTGGACATACAACAAGGCTTCAAGAATATATTGACCAGATAGTGTCATAATATTTAATTCCTTAAACTTATTCCGTACCGACTCCCTCGGAGAAACACAACAAATACCCCGAACAGCCCGCTTCTGCAGCACAAATATGGATTGAACCTCTGCAGCAGCACCCCACAGTAGAATACCGTAAGACATAACGCTGTGAAAGTAGCTATGATAAACAATTTTTGCCGTGTCCTTATCAGTAAACTGTCGGATTTTCTTTACTGCATATGCTGCAGAGCTCAGCCTATTCGAAAGAGTATCCATGTGTGGGCCCCATCATTGGTACAGGATACCAATCGCTCGACCTTTTTGACAAGACCTCGAGGTCGTGTCAAGATTTTAAAAAATGTCAATTTTAGCATATAAATAAAATTATTTACATAAGGAAATGTTGACCGAGTCAATTGACCCTTGATTTTTATTATTGCTTTTGTTAATCGTTGAGATTTTGTGCTATTACTTTTAAGAATAATAATTTAATTTTCATTGATTTGTTTTGATATTATTTAATTGTCAATTTCACTCAACGGATAAAAGTATGAATATTGTTACGACCAATCAGAGCAGAGCTCACACCTCGAGTGGGGTCGAGGCACCATCTTGACTTTTGACAGCGCGTACGGGGAACGCGAGACAGTTCTGAATTCTGAGTATGTACTCAACTCAGTGAAGCATTGTGGTGATGAGAGGTTCGACCGAGTTGGGTCTAATAGATTATGAATAAAAGTGAGATCGGTACCCTGAACCCGCTGCTCATTATAATCTCAGCTAAAGTGTGATTTGTATTGTTAAAATGAATCAATCTAAATTAAATACTGTACCATAATTATTCGTGTCTCTTATGACGCCCATTAAACCCGCTAATGTCAATATCGATGCGGTAACGGTATTTCTCTGACATACATATTTACATTTTTTAGTACTTAAAACTTACCCAACTCCTGATAAGTATTTAGTCACACATCTGTTTAGCATTTTAAAAACTGTGTCCGATTATATTACTATTAATAATACTATGAATGTAATGGTGAAACAATATTACCATACTAAACGACTTTACTAAAAATATAAGGTTATCGACACTTGACCGCTACAGCTGATCAATATTACCTAGACGACGTACCACCCAAATAAGACCATTAAAACCATTTTTAATACAAATTAGTTAACATATTGAATGTTTTGTTTTTGTTTGTCTAATTTAGATATTATTGTAATAAAGCTGTAAAGGCTTGGTTGAACGCGTTATTTTATTTATTTATTCACACTTGCATTAAAAAAATACAAATAACACAATACAAAAATTACAGGGGATGCAACAAAAAAAACTGAAATAAATAAATATGAAGAGTAAAGTACAAGAAGTGCATTAATAATTAAAAAATACGTGTGGCACTCGGGGACTGCCGCGGTAAAGCTATTGCATAGCATTTTTTATAAACTTATGCAATAAATTTTTTTTTGTCGCTACTCCCCTCTTTGAAGACACTCTCCTTAAGGCCTCAGCGAGCATCGGAATACTGGGTGTTGACATATCGATTAACGTTCAGATTTGCAATCATCTGGAAGGCTAAATTAGCCTCCAAAAAGCTTGGTGTGCTCAGCAAGGCGAGACGCTTGCAAATTCGGCCCCTCATGGAATACTGTTCTCACCTCTGGGCGGGAGCTCCCCAGTACCAGCTCCTTCCACTTGACCGTATTCACCAAAGAGCGGTTCGAATCGTCGCCGACCAGTCACTTTCCGTGCGGCTTGATCCCTTGGCGTTGCGTAGAGATGTGGGGTCTCTGTGCATCTTCTACCGCATTTACCATGGAGAGTGTTCAGAGGAGTTGTTCGGTCTAATACCTACAGTTGAGTTTCATCATCGGACGTCAAGGCAAAATACAAAATACCATCCGTATCACCTCGACGTCCGTCGTTCCATTATTCCATAACTGAGCGTTTTCTAAGGCAGTTTTTGCCGCGCACCACCACTATGTGGAACCCGCTGCCCACTGAAGTATTTCCGAACCAATTCGAATAAGGGTTCTTCAAGAAAAGAGCGTACCAATTCTTGAAAGGCCGGCAACGCACTTGCGAGCCTTCTGGCATTGTGAGTGTCCATGTGCGGCGGGTATCACTTAACATCATATGAGCCTCCTGCCCGTTTGCCTCCTATAACATAAAAAAAAAAATATTTATTTATTTTTGCAGTATTTTTTTCTTTGATATTAATTCAATCTACCACTCTACCAGACTCAGACTAACACGCCTATCCGATCACGCTAAACCGATGTGAGAGGCAGTATGCGTTCTGTCCCGCTCTAACGCGTATTGGCCGCACCTATATTACGTCATCATGTGTTAGGTTTTTTCTTTACGGAATTTCTTGATTCGGTCGCCGCGCTCAAAGCCCGCGATAAAATCTATGCAATAGCTTAATAAAAAGAACATGTGGGTTACATGTTCTTTTTATTTTTATTAACTACGTATAAAACTAATACTAAGTAAAATCTAAAAAAATAAAAGTACTAACTGAATAATAATATAAAAGCTAATCTAAGGGTTAATGAATCACAATTAATATAGCTAATTACGAGGCAGAAGATAAATACAAAACTTAGGCTTGTGTAGGTTTATAGTAAAACCTCTCTGTGTTTCTTTTTCCATACTAGGGTTGCCTTGAAGAAATCACTTGCGATAAGGTCGCCCGTTGTCTAAAAACTTATGTAACTTGTATTTTTTATATGTATGTTTTTGTATAAGGTAACGAAGTGTAAATAAAGAAAATAAAATGTTAAAAAGCAGTTATGAAACAGAGAAATACTTCTTAACATAAAAACACAAAAAAAAACAAGTTTCAATGCATACAAAGTCATTGGCATTGAAACAAAACCTGCAATTTTCTTATTAGCGCTGGGTTATTTGAATATAAACGCTCAATTGTGTATTAACTACAAACACTAGTTAAGTTCGGTGGCGATTGTTGAAAGGATGTTCAAAGAAATTAAACATTTTGTTTGAAGCTAAGTGTAATCTTTAATCGTTTAAAACAAGAGTTTCTTTTTTCTTCATGGAGGACTTTGAGGACAGAGCTCTGGCCAATGCCCCGGTTAAACCTCGACTGTACAAGAGATATGTCGATGACACATTTGTAGTACTCCCCAATGACAAAATATCTGCATTTCTAGCACATTTAAATTCAATACACAAGAACATTAAATTTACTGTTGAACAAGAAAACAACAACTGTCTGCCCTTTTTAGACATTTTAATTATACGCAAAGCAGATGGCACACTAGGTCACACAATACACAGGAAGGCAACCCACACAGATAGGTACCTCAATGGTGAATCCCACCACCACCCTTCACAACTGCTTTCTGTCGGTAAATGTTTGTTTCAGAGAGCCCAACGTCTTTGTGATGATGCTCACCTCGAGGAGGAACTACAGCATGTCAAACAGGTGCTACACCGAAACAAGCTGCGCATCCCCCGGCTACATCACAAAAACAAAAACAAGACACAAACAGTTCCCCGCCAGCCAGCCTACTTGCCATATGTAAAGGGAGTTACAGATAGAATTAGCCGGATCCTAAAACGAGCTTCTATTCATACAATTTTCAAGCCGCACAAGAAGATTCAGCAATTCCTAAGACCAATCAAAAGTAACACCCCATTGCAAGATGCAGGTATATACAAACTGGATTGCGACTGTGGCCTGTCTTACATAGGGCGAACTAAACGCAATATGTCCAGCAGACTCAAAGAACACATTGCAGACATAAGACATAGACGACACACAAAATCAGCAGTCTGTGAAAACATACTAGATAGGCCTAATCACTACATACGCTTTGACCAACCGAAAGTACTTGCGAAAGAGAAAAGATTCTTCCCAAGATTGGTACGCGAAGCCATTGAAATCAAAAAACACCCCAATTTCAATAGAGAAGACGGCCTAAAATTGTCAAACACCTGGGATCCAATAATATCCAAATTAAAATCTCAAAAAGAAAAACAATCCGCGAAAATAGAGGACACTGTGAGCCATTTTTGCCAAAACCCTCCATCTTTTAGTCGATACCAACTCCGGGGAAATAAATACAGATAATGCAACTTTCCCTGCAGCTGTGATACTTTTTGACATTCAACATCTTTTGTCTTCAGTCACCGTGACCACGCACGCTGTAAAGCACGCGAAACGTCGGATAAATTTAAAATTATGTCAAATAGTTGTAAATTTATAATAATAAACATAACTTTAATCCGGTAAAAAGCGTTTTTCTTTAAAAACAAGAGTTTATAACTTACATAAAGTTAGGGACTACGCTACTACGTGCGACGCTGGACTGAAAAACTGAAATCTTATTTAAGGATTCTTAAAACAAAGTCTGTAATCTGTACCTAACCTATAACGAAAATGTTAGTGATGTCGACTTATTGGACATCCTCGGAAACGAGAATGTTATATTATAACTAGCTGATCCGGCAAACGTCGTTTTGCCATGTATATCATTTATAATAAAAAAAGGGGTTGATCGTGGTCGGGTAAAAATTAGGGGTTGTCTGTATTTTTAATGCTGTATCATAAAAAAATAATAAAATAAAAATTATCTAAAAATTAAAAACAAAAATTTTTGGGGTGGACTACCCTTAACATTTAGGGGGATGAAAAATAGATGTTGCCGATTCTCAGACATACCCAATACGCACACAAAATGTCATGAGAATCGGTCAAGCCGTTTCGGAGGAATTTAACTACAAACACCGCGACACCAGAATTTTATATATTAGATTTATGAATGTATAAAAAGCTCTTTAGCTTTTCTAGCTAGCTTTTCTTTAAATCGCGTAAAATGTTTCTATTAATCGTATTGCATTATTTTCAAGATTTGCTATATTTTCTGAAAAGTTCCATTTTCCGCCGAATACCGAAAAGTTGCTTCGTGAAATGTATATAAAAACTTGAGTCTCTCTGTAAATTACAATATCCAAATCATATAAGATAACGGTGCGAGGAGAGAGGCAATTATATTCGAGATATCTATGAATTTAAAACCAAATTTAAAAGAGATTGACGATCTAAAGGCGTTTTAGAATAAATTTACATAAATTACGGATCAGAGCAATCACTTTGGAATCTTGGTTAAGTCATAAAATTAATTTTGCCGAAACTTTGCTTTTGATAACTTTACTCCTGTTTTCAAAAGGAAACTTTTGACGCTTATGAAGCGTTCCTTGGCACTTCAAGAATTTGGTCAATCAAATGGTAATTTAAGATTAGTTGTATACATTTATAATCGCCTTACAATTAGGAAGTATGAATAGTTCAAAAAAGAAATTGTTTTAATTATTTCCTCGAAGTTATGGTAGTTATCGTGGTTTTTTGCAACCTTATCTAACAATCATATTATCAATCAAATCATTATTATATCAATTTTATGGTTGTCATAATGTCAACATACGCCAAAACCTTCCTTTTTTTTGTTTTTATGTAATAGGAGGCAAACAGGCGGGAGGCTCATCTGATGTTAAGTGATACCGCTGCCCATGGACACTCACATTGCCAAAAGGCTTGCAAGTGTGTTGCCGGTCTTTCAAGAGCATACCAACTCTTCAGTAGGCAGCTGGTTCCAAATAGTGGTAGTGCGCGGCAAAAACTCCCTTTAAAAACGCTCAGTTGTGGAATGACGGACGTCGAGGAGATACCTCCATGGTAAATGCGGTAGAAGACGCAGAGAGATTTCCTAAATATTTTTGTCGAAAATACAATAATCTCTTTGGTAGTTTTAGATGTGTTGCGTCCAGAGAGCAGCCGGAAGACGTTATAATATGGATATTTTTATAACGGCCATTTCGAATTGTGAAAATGGGTGTAATTCGTAATTTATTTTCAAATTGCAATAAATCTATCAGTACAAATAATTTTCATGAAGCAATTGAACAACAGTTAAATAATACCTAGTCGTTTCGCTTTTAGCTAGTCGGCACT